TTAATGCGCCTGGTAATAAGGTAAGATAAAATGAAATTTGCATTGTATAAAGTCTGTATTTTTGTCGACTCATTACATAATCAGTTATAACTGAGCACAGTTCTTTGCACAAGCAGCATTCTAATCTTACTCCAAATGTGTTACCACCCCCAGGGATTTACAAATGTGGCATTTCTTCATCATTCTTTCTCCCTGGTACTGAAGCCCCTGCTCGTACTGCACCAGGAGCTCCCCCTGCGCCCCAGGCTTCCTTTCCCATGCAGTCTCTCTCAGGCTTTCAGATTCCTTTGTTTTGGCGACCCTGAGCTTGGATGTGGGTTAGATTGTCTACAGTTGCCTCAGACATCAGGGGCACTAAGTTACATATAGGGTCTCCACCCTATGGGGAAACTTTCAGGATGAACTTTAGGCTGTGATATTAGTGCATAATTGATTGTGAATAAGAATTATTATTGTTTGGTATGAATCTGTACCAGCTGTGGTGGCACTTTTACATGAAGATCTGCTCAGGTAAAATCATCGCCCTGATGACGGAGGCAGTATGACCTCTGAAACGTTGGTTAACATCGACCAGACTACACAGCGCAACAACCCAGAAGGCAGAAATCTTCATACTAAGAATCGCCCTGATGACGGAGGCAGTATGACCTCTGAAACGTTGGTTAACATCGACCAGACTACACAGCGCAACAACCCAGAAGACAGAAATCTTTAAAATCATAAAATTTGCAATAAAATAATACATATCAATTATAAAAAATACCAATGTAACTTTGCTTTTAATCTGTTTATACTTTGTATCCTGTATACTCTGTTTTTTTCCAAATTTATAATCTTAATTTTTTCATCATAGGTATCTGCGTTGAAATCATCGCGTGTATCGTCTCCATCCAAAGGAAGCAGCAAGAACTCCCCGTTCTCGGGTGGAAACAGCCAGTTGATGGAGATGAATTCATTGCTCCCTGGTAGTGGGAACGCTTCTGGCAAGGGGGAGCGTGCAAGTGCTGGTGCTGTTCGAGCAAGAGAGTTCCAGCTGTCGAGTGTCAGGTTTATTCAGGAATTGGGAGAAGGGGCTTTTGGTAAGTTGTCTGACCTATTAGCATTTTACATTTTTGCGTATATTTACGTTGACAACAACGCGTGTCCATATAAAGCTTCAAAATTGTTGCTTTAGCCTTTATTTCTGTTCAGCAGATCGATCAGATCGTAGTGGAGCAATTAAAATGATAAAGAGTGTAATTAATTTGCATTAACATCTGTTATACCGCAGGTAAAGTGTATAAAGGCGAAGTGAACGCAGGTGTGGCTGGTGAAGTGCCACTGTTGGTAGCCATCAAGGCTCTCAAGGAAAACGCCACTCCTAAGACCCAGGCTGATTTCCGACGGGAAGTAGAACTTATGACTGATCTGCATCATCCGAACATTGTCTGTCTCCTGGGTGTAGTCATGAAAGGGGAACCTCTCTGTATGCTGTTTGAGTACATGACACAGGTGCGGCTCTAGTCTAATGTTCGTTTAGCTTCTCGTGATTGATATTTACCTTATATTTTTTCTTAACACCTGTTTTTCTGTTTTTATAAGGGTGACCTCCACGAGTTTCTCATCTGCCATTCTCCTCGTTCAGATGTTTCTGCTTGTAGTGATGATGGCAATGTTCATGTTCTTGAGCAGCCTGAATTTCTTCACATTTCCATGCAAATTTCTGCAGGTACTCGTAATTCCTTTACTGTGTTACAGTCTCTTGTGATCTTCGGCGTTTATTGTGTTTACAGAAATTCTGAAGTCGTTTAACTTGAATAAACATGAATATGATGAACAGAGTTCTTCCATAAGACGTTAAATCAAGTAGAAATTTTGTAGACATTTCTTAACAGACACGAAGTATTGTCGTCATTGCAAGGAATATTAATTTATTTATTTTTAATAATTTAGTGTGACAGGAAGTAAACTTCTGTTAGGTAAAGTCTGTGTGGCTGTCGTCTTGTTGCTGATATGAAGCGTCTAAATAATGTAGCATCTTGGTAAATGGCAGTCATTTTGAATTTCTTTAAATTTCATGGAGTGATACGTTTAATCTTTCCAATAACTCATGTTGAATTTCAGGGGGAATGACAGAGGATTTATGATGTGGTGTGAAGAATTTTATTAAGATTGTGTGATCACTTCCAAAACTTCAAAAGTACCCATACTGTAGCGAATTAATTTACCATACTTGGATTGGAAGTTATATTAATGCCCTGTGTTGATGTTGAAGGAATGGAGTATCTATCAAGTCATCACTATGTGCATAGAGACCTTGCAGCCAGAAACTGCTTAGTGGGCGATAATCTTACAGTTAAGATATCAGACTTTGGACTTTCCAGAGACGTGTATTCATCAGATTATTACAGGTAATATATTTTATTTGGTAACGATTTTCAAAAGGGCTTTTTTTTACCTCTATGTTTCTGCAATCTGAATATATCTTGCAGTTATATAAAAGCTTTGTTGTAAAAAAAACTGAGTTTATGACTGTATTACACTTTTCTCTGCGTTGTAGATCATAAAATTGGAATTTAATTACAAATATGTTAAAATGCTTGTTGTATAGAAGTTTTGTCATAAAATAGTGTGTTTATGACTGTTTGTTATGCTTTCCAAATCATAAAACTGGGAATTTATTACAAATATGTGAATTTTCTTGTTTAACTTCTGAAAGTAAGCGTGAAATCTACAGACACGTATTTCTGTTCTGCGTTACGTAAGGTTTCCCATAAGTTCAGGGCCATAGAAGAATTGTAATTTGGTAAAATATGGAAAAATGTAAAGAGCGAGAAGTGAATTGTTAATCTCAAGTGTAAAAATTGTTTGCCTATAACAAGCTGTTACAGTTTTGTGCTCTTTACATCATCAGTAGTAAAATGTTGCAATCGCGTTGCAACATTGACGTGCAAGCAGACCGTTAACAGCGTAATTAGTGAATCAAACCCCATCTTACTATCCAGCCTGTAATATGTGAATGAAGTGTAAAATATTTATTTTTAATACAGGGTTCAGTCCAAATCATTGCTGCCTGTGAGGTGGATGCCTCCTGAATCCATCCTTTACGGCAAATTTACGACCGAGTCAGATGTATGGAGCTATGGAGTTGTACTGTGGGAGATCTACAGTTACGGTTTGCAGGTGGGCTGATTAGTGATCTAAGCAATATTAGGCATTGACTTCCATACGTTGTACCCTTTTTCTGATCATACAAATTTGCCGGTGAATATATTAGAGAACACTGAAATTTATTAAAAAAATATAGGACTGTGAAGTGTCTTTGTTTGTTAGACAAAATGTGGTAAATAACCGCTTGGGTCCTTACAAGGAGGCTCATTTGTTGAAAGGCCTGAGAGTTATTTTACAAATCTCACTTCATTTTACCAGTAATTTATACTTTTGGAAATTTTAATTTCATTCCAAGGCCAGGCACTTTCCCTTCTAGAAGTGGCATAAGGGATTAATTTATTTCTAATAGAAATTAAGTTTTATTGGGGCGTATTTCTGATTAGTTTAACAAAATCAATTTGCACTGCAATTTGTTACAGCCTTATTATGGTTATAGCAACCAGGAAGTGATAGACATGATTCGGTCAAGGCAGCTTTTACCTTGCCCTGAAGACTGCCCGTCTAGGTTATACACACTGATGATAGAATGTTGGCATGAGGTCCCCAGCAGAAGACCTCTGTTCCCGGAGATTAACGCGAGGCTGAGGTCATGGTGGCCCACCTCACCAAATACTTGTGGTATCCTTGGCAACTATCACCCAGCAGGTATACATAATGTTATTTATCATGATATTACTGCATACAAATAGAGTACTTTGTCTTTTATTAAAAAAAATAAATCCGTGGCGTAACAGCTCAAGAGAACCAAAGCCGACTAGCTTGACTGCTGGCCTCACGTTCACATGCCTAAGCAGAGGTGAACGATCATCCAACCAGATATAGGATGACTTGTGGTCAGCACGATGAACCCCCAGCCATTGCTAGTTTTCCTGACCAGATTACGCTACTTATTGTAGCTCCCCAAATTCCTCACGATGCTGGGTTGGCACCAGTCCCATACACGGTCGAAAGCTTATGAGAAAATTTCTTCTCCCCCGAGACTTGAACCAGCGCACATTCCATATCGCCGGTCCAAAGCATGATGCCTCAGACCGCGCGGCTACGGTGCGGGACACTCTTTTATTATGAATTTTAATATTTTTATGAAGTGTGTGAACATTCTTCAGAATTTTCTGTCAACAAATATTGCCAGTGGTTAAATCCATTTGAATGACACATCCCTGATGTGATTGCCACAGTCACTGCAGACATGTTGGATACAACATGGCAAGAACTGTACAGACTTGATACTATTCATGACACAAATGGGTCAGGTGTTTAAGTTTACTAAACTGCATCGACTGTTACTGGTCTTGAAGCACAAATAATTTTTTAATTACTGTTCCGCATGCTGTGAATTGTATTCAGACTTTTAGGAGTACGAATTGAAACTCAAGTTTTATGCATTTTTAGGATGCAGTATAAACTTTACATAAAGCTTATGTAGATTATTTGATTTGAATAGTGGTTCTTTTAAAATAGTATGGGATTTGGAAATGGCAGTCTTATGACGATGTGCTGGTGTGTTAGGCTCACCAGATGTGTCATCCTCCAACTGGACTCCTCCAGTTGCAGCACCAGCAAGCAGCTACAGTGGCGGATCACAGAAATCCAGCACCGGTCCCAGTAACAAGACTGGATCTACTCAACTATCTGTCAATATTTCCACCCCACAGAACTTACCACCTCAAAACTCTGTCAAACCTCCTTTCAACTCTGCACTAACTCAGCCACACAGTCAACCAAGTACACCATCACATATCCATCCATATGGTTCAAACTTCAGAGGGCCATCGTCGTCTTCGACACCGAGTCACCAGTCCCCGGGATCGGCGACACAATCACCCAGCCAGTCTAACACGCCATCACATATCCAGCAAGGAAATGGTTCGGGGAATACTTCGCTCTATCAGCAAAGCCCTGTAACGTCCCAAACAAATCAACACCCAAACCCAAATTCAGTGTTATTATATCAGTCAGGAAAAGGACAGACTTCAAATTTGAATCAAGCCCAACCTTTAACACAAACAAGTGAGCAAACAATGTCCAGTCCCCCTGGATCTAGTGTGGCTTATAATATGCCCTTATTTTCCGCAGAGTCCTCAGGAGGAAAACAAAAGGCAGCGCAGCTGCAAGGGACTCCAAAATCAAGTGCAGGTCAGGCAGTTTTGAAAAGTTTTGGCAAATCTGTAGGAAATAGTGCTGGTAATGGTGGACCAAACGGAAGGCAGCAAGCAGGAAGTGCGCAGCTAATTGTCAGGTTACCACCCCCTTATAATAAGAATGGAAGTGGTAATGTTGAGACCAGAATTTCCAATATTTGAAGTGAATAACCAAAGTAAAAGACACTGATAAAACACCAGAATAAACCAAAGGGCTTGTTAAACAAGTGTTTGTTCTCAGTAAGATAATTTTATATCCATTCCTCTTTATTCAGTTCAGAAGATGAAATTTTGCATTCATTTTACAGTCCATGATTACCCTGTATTTGATCAGACATTGATAGAGATCACAGTATGCTGGGAAATTTTGTATATAATTTTTTTGTATGCTGTATCGTAGAGAAAGACCATGACAACTTGTATTTACAGAGTGGTGAGGCTACATTTTATTTTCACTTGAACATACTCATTACATTTAAGAGCTGGCTAGACTCTCATAATAAATCTTTTTATTCACATATGGTGTACAGAGATGTATGAATTATGTACATGTTTTCTGCAGTGCCAGCGAATGTTGTTGTTCAGAATAATAATATTAACTGTAAAATTTTGTGAGGACCATCTAGTCTAGTACTAATGCTGTTTAAGTCCAAACGCCACACTTTGAAAGTCTGGATAAAGATCTTGTTTTTAAACATGAGAGGTGAGGTGTTGGTTTTGTTCTGGCCGTGTTGCTTTCTCGTTAGCAATTGAACGAAGGCGGAACCACTCTGAATACGAAGGCATCAACATCCGGACGTTAGCTACTTTAAACATTGTATAAACTGAAATGGCCAACCTTGGATTTTTTATATTGCTTTTCATCATGTCTGTGAGGTAGGCTAATACAACACGATATTTCAGGTTCTCAAGGTGGTGAGTGTGAAGATGGCTGTTTTCCGAGTAGTTGCATCGTGTAGTCTGGACTATCACCCTAATGGTGGAGTTAGAGCAAGTGCCTCTGAAATGTCAGTAAACTTCTGTCAGATTACAAACCACAACTTCCGAGAAGACAGTCATCTTCATTGTTTGTCTGTATGAGGCCAGGCTCGTGGCAGAACCTTTAACTTTTATTCTGAACAGGACACCAGAAGGAAGAAGATTGTAAAATGAAAATGTTACTTCAGAAAAAGAAGTGTATTCTCTTAATATTTCAGAAACTACGAAGTTTTGCGAAATAAAATGGATGTAATTATTACTGAGATGCTATACATCTTGCCACAGACATACAGATTTGTTATTCTAATGGGAAACTCTTGTGCCAAGTTTACGCATCTGTAGCTTTCGAATTGCCGGTGTTCGTATGAAGGTAGCAGAAATTTTATAATGTTAAAAACGTACCTGTAATGACATCTTACGTAACTTGTTACTGAAAGTTTATGTTAAGCAGCAATTCTTTAGCTTGTATTAAACAAAACTGAAGCATCTAGATTTATTTCAAGTTTGTGTGATTTTGTATGTTCTTATCTGAAATTTGCTTAGCTACTATTGAGTCTTTTAAAGTTTGCAGTATGAATTTGTTTTCAGGAGTGCATTTAGTTCTGCAGAAGGGAAAACACAACTAAAAGAAAGTCTTACCAGTGTAATACAGTTTATAAGAAGACAAGACTGTAATATTGTTATGTGCGTGGCAAAGTATGAAATGAATATTATGAAAGTTTTTATTCGAATTGCAAGTAAACGATGGGGTTTGTAGTAGGGGCAGCAAAAGATGTTACTATGTGAAGTGTCCTACACCATGTTCATGTACGTGCCAGGATGGTACCTTAAATAAGGCCACGACCACTTCCTTCCACATCCTTTCCAATTCATTTATTCACTAATCTGTTATTTAATGCCGTGCAATCTGACACAAGGGACACAACGAAAATTTTCAGCCAAGAAGTATCAAACCGAAGTCTGTAGGATGTAAGACTTCAGTCTTACCTCATCAAGTCAGCTGTAAATCCAACAAGTAACATAGTACATTATACGTAAAGTGGGACCAGTTTACATGCTCCAAAATTTAGGATTTATTTACTAATATCACAGGATCAGGAAGTTATCTGCTTGTACACATTTATTAAGTCTCTACAGCTGAACGCTTATCCTTTCATCGTAATTAAAGGTTTAAACTTGTGGATAAAATTGTAGCCATCTGTAAGGGTTAGTCATTTGAATTTCATTGCCTGAAAAATGATCTTTATTGACACTTTGACAAGCCTGCTTCAGAATGTTGTGCACTTATGTGTATGAAAGTTCTATAATGAACTATTTAATAATAAGAACTGGGGTAGCCCAGTCGGTGTAGTGACTGGCTACGGACTGGATGACCGGTGGTCGATCCTCTACAGGGACAGAAGATTTTTCCTCTAACCTCTGCATCCAGACTGGCTCTGGTGCCCACCCAGCCTCCTATCTAATGGGTACTGGGGTCATTTCCTGGGGGTAAAGTACAGCTGGGGCGTGAGGTTAAGAATGAGTAAGAGCTATATGATTTATAGTGGGACAGTTTTACTTTCACTTTTTAATTTAATATTTATAAATATGGTAAAGATAATACCAAAATTCTAAGTTTGTATGAAGAAAACTTTAATATTCCAACAGTAGTCACAGTCAAGACTTGCTAAATGTTCGAAGGAATTCGCTTTCGTTAATTTTCATTTTACAGTGTACAGTTTTATACCAGTTTTTATACAAAAGACAGTTTAAATTAAAGTGACTACAAATAATGTGCTCACTGTGATCTGTGCCATAATGACACGCTTTAAAATATTGAGTCTTAAATGGCTATTCAAATGCACATCCCTATTCCATTTTTACACAACAGACAGTATGAGCAGTTTTGACAGTGCTTGTTTTTATGTCAATTGCATTAAAAACACTACC